CCTTTGAAATGTCCTAAAGACCATGTGAATGTGCTGTAGTGAAAACTAGGTTGAAGCTGCAGTCATCTAGACAATATGACCTGGATTTGAGAACTCAAAGCAAAACACATGGGTTTACCAGACCTGGATTTTTATCAGTTGGTTTTTTTTCACAGATGTGATCAGATTTGAGATTCTTGCAAAATTGAAAGAGTAAGAAACAAGTTCATTTAAATGTCACTTGTTGGAGTGACAGAGATCTAGTTCCCTTCACTTGGAGGAGCAGACCCAAAAGTGAAAGCCTTTAATCAATACTGACTCTGTACAAAAGAGAACAGAAGTCTATACTCTGTTCAACATGACTGCAAGAAGAGGGTTGTTTTTCCTTCAGGTAAAAGGATAGAGTGGAACTAGGGTGTGGAGGTGTATGTTTGGGTTAGGTCCACACATCCTGCATTCTGAGTCCTTAACCGGATTTCCCATTGTCTTGATATGTTGGCTACACGAATAGCAAATCTTGGCATAATGCTTTAGTTCCTACTTTAAGCTCTTCTTCCATGTTCAAATGAAACACTGACAGCAAGAATCTCAAGTCTGTCTTAAAAAGTGACAGATAAGCTTTGATGTAAGGTGATTCATCAGCTGCAAAATCTAAGGCCTTACCTACATGATGGCAAACATAGAATTGTTAGTTACAAATCAGGAAAGATATTTTCAAGTTGGTTTTTAGAGTCCTGTGACATCACTGGCTTAGCACACAGTAGCAGCCAAATTGGACAAGGCAATGTTGGGCATCAGTAAGAAGTATATTAAAAAACAAATTAAGGAGTTTGTATTGCCACTTGGTATCTAGATAGGTGTAGAGAGTTTAAAGAAGGCCTGTAGGGAAGTTAAAAGGCAACTGAAATGATCAGCTGTCTTGATCGCTGCCTGTTCATAAGGCGAAAAAGGAGTGGAACTCATCTGTTTTAGAGAGAGGGCTGAGGGAGGCATTGTGACATAAGGTTCAGAATCATGACCGCAGAACTGCTCTTCACCACTTGTTCCTGCATTATTCGAATTCGGGGGCAGTTACTTAAAAAGAGTAGGAGATTAGTTTAAAACAAATAAAGGAATTTCTGGAACTTACTGCCACAGGAAGCTGTGGAGGTACACAGCAAATAAAAAGAAAATCATCAGTCATGGACAGCTGGTCTATAAATATATGCTGAAGCAGCTAGTAAGAGATTGCACTTATATTTGCTACAACTACTTCTGGACAAGTGGATGGGGGCTTGGTAATATGAAAGTTCTGTTGTCACTGCTGGAGACATGATATTGGGCTGGTGGACCAACAGGACAGTAATGTTCCTGCCTTGAAAAAAGATACTGCTTTTTCTGTTAAAGTGCAGAGCCTCACTTGCTAGACTGTAAAGTTATGTGAGAATGCAAAACTTCATTTTAAGGAACATCTATTTTAGAGCCTTATGCTGATATTAGCCACCGCTATCTAATTGCACTGGAGCACAGGCTGTCTGCAAGTTGTTTCAAATGCTTTGAGAAGCCTTATAAAGCCTTTCTGTTGCAACAGAAATTACAAATAATTAGGCTCCTTCAGAAATGCTCCTGAACAAATATTCGATTGAAGTGCCCCTGAACTATCTTCAACTCTGAAAGTACACAAAACTGGAAATAGTGTGCAGCTGTTCCCACCTATTCTGTTAAATAATTTTAATTTCTTGAAGATTACTTGCTGTCATCAACACTGAAGTTTAAAAGTCAGTGCAAAACAGATTCTACCTTCAATTGAAAAAACAACTTAAGTATTTTCAAGATTCCAGTGATGTGTTTCTAATTGTAAAATGAAAGTAACATTCTGCTGAAGTCTAGATTTTGCAATAAATACAGATATTTAGTACTGATATTTAATGTAAAAGCATTTGTATTCAAATGACAGCATTTACATATTTGAGAAATGCAACAACTTGGGCAGGTAGAAAGTATCTCAACTTCTCAAACTCAAAATGGCTCCCATAAAGAGCAGTAAAATGCATCCCACTGCCTGTGCTTTTCACGCATCTCACTGAAGCAGGCTGGAAGAGACCCTGGGAGGCCTCTAGTCCAACTGCCTGCTCAAAACAGGACCAACACTGAATTCAAAGCAGGTTGCTTAGGGCTCTGTCAGTTGGGTGTTCAAACTTAATGACATGAAGAGTCCACAGCCTCTGAACAACCTATTCTAATTCTTAGCTAGCCTTATAGCAAATATTCTCCCTTCACATTCAAACACAACTTTATGGTTTGTGTTATGATCAATGTCTCTTCTTCCACCACGCATTTCAGTGAAGAACCAGCTCTCTGCTAGCTTAAGGTATAAGCTCCTGCCCCTTAACCCTTAAGTCTTGGTGCCTCTCATTAATCTTTTGTACTGAGGAAGGAGTGAGGTAGCCAGTGTGGAATAGGAGAGATGCAGTCTAACAAGTGCCAGATAAGAATCCATTCCCATGCCGTACTGGTTGTGCCCTTGTCTCCGCAGCCTAGTGTGCTGTTAGCCTTTACCCCTGCCCGGGGACACTGTGCATTCATGTTTAGCCTCCTGTGTGTCAGGCCCCCCATGTCCTCTTCAGCAGTGTTGCCCTCCAGCTTGTTGATCCCCATAATACAAATTCTATGCTGTAGTCTGTGCTTCTGGCTGAGGTGGCCATGTCTCAAGCAGACAGAAGTTACAGAACTCTGTGACCATTGATATTACCATTGATTGTCATGTATATTCTCTGCAGTACATTTATGTTTCTTCGTAACAACCTGTTTCCCCTTGGATGTGAGGAGTACTTGAGAAAAAAGGCAGGCAAGTGTGAAGCTGCAGATCAGAAGTGTTTCTGGAAGGTCACAGATTTGTTATTTTAATGAAAGGATGCGCAAAGATAACACCACAGCGTTTTCCTGAGCTTCCTTTAGGAACTGGCAAAGGTTGTGTCTATTCATGATTTTTTCACCAACAGCATTTTCCACAGACTCTCCATTTGGAAAGGTTACTACCCAAAACCGTAAAACCATGATTTTGTCATATTACCGAAATATATTCATCTAAAGGTATTGTGTTTTAAGTCTTCAGGAAAACATCTGAGGTCACTGGCTTGGCTTTCTGAGTGTTCAAAACAACTAACACTGAGTATCAGCTTTATAATTGCAGGTGAACCAATGGCTCAACTCTGCAGACCTAAAACCATATAATTTCCTACTCTAATATGAAGTTTGTAGTCACTGTACAGTGGATCTTTTTTTTTCCTGTGGTGAGGGCGGAGAGAAATTGTTGGGTTTCTGTGTTTTATTTTCTTAGTGACTAAAATTGATAGCTGTTTTGGAAAATTCATGTGGTAGCTAATCTGATCATATTGCAGGATATTTTCAGAGATAATATTTCTAAATAACACAAGAATGTCTGTATCAGGCTGTCTGTATCTAGGTATATAAGCTAGTAAAAATTATCTATTCCAGATATATGTTACTGTCCAGTATCTAATATTTGGCATAAGCTTAATTTGCTTGCATCCTGAGTTACGCTGTGCAAATGTGGAACTCTGTTCTGCTTGCCTTTATATAAGCAAAGACCTCATGAAACAACTGCAGCCTATGTGTATGTGAAGACAATGCAAAAAACTAATGTTAGTGCACATAGTAAACAAGGTTTAGATCTGCAGCATGTATCCATATTCCTAACAAGGATGTTCTGATATTAAAAGGTGAAGCTTTTACATGCTGTTAACATGTGATTTAATGGCAGCTAGTGTGATTATGACTCATGTGATTTTTTTCCAACTCCTTTTTCTCTTCTACACAAGCCCACGGTAAGTACAGAGATTCCTTCTTCCCCAAATGGACAGATAAAAATCTCCCACTGGTGTTCAATACTGAGGACATACATGCACTCGTTAATTATTAAAGTGAATATTGCTTCAGATTTCTGAAACATCAAATAGATTTCTGTAAAGAAACTCTTCAGGCATTTTATTCTTTCTATTCTCCAAGTCTCTTACTATGAAAAGTTGCTTACAAAGTAGCACTTGGTGCATCTTCTGTTTTAAGTTTTCAGAGTAACATTAGGAAGGTTCTGTAATCCATTTTTAATGTTTTTCTCCATCCTCAGGATTTTTTATCTTAATACTCTTATACTGTTAAACTGACCCTGAGGGACAGTTGCTAGTAAAAGCTAATAAAAGTGAAATTATAAAACAAACAAACAAACACCACAAAACCAACCCACCTCTGGAATGTCATCCGTGAGTTATTTTTCATTAAATTAACAGGAGACTTCAGCACTTTAGGTTTTAGTTTTGAATAGCTTGCATGCGTGGTTGTAATAGTGTATTACTCCATAGTGCATTGAATTAAAATGTTATCTGTCTATGGCCTGACAGTCATTTTTGTCTTGTTTGATGTTCTCTTAAAATTGCAACTACAATCTATTCATGCTGTACGAAGAAATGTTTCTCTCATACTGCTCAATCTGAAATCTCATTGGATCTGAACTAGATAGTTAAGACAATCTTGCAGTGGAGACAGAACTAAACATATTCTCTGGGATTTTCTTCTGTGGCTGTGTGAAACTGGCAATATTCACTTGGGACCCCGCTCTTTGGAATAGGGGAAGGGACTTCTCAAGTGAGAAGTCAGGTGATACAGGAGAGAATGGACCTGTAAAAGCAGATGTTAAGGCCAAAAGTCCTGTCAAAACAAATAGGCCACTCTAGAAAATAGAAACCATCCTTGTGGGGATATTAAAGATGCAGTAAATAGAGGGATCTGTCATTACTGATTCTAGGTACCTTCATTATTACGCCTTAAAACTGTAGTACTTGAAGTGATCATCAAACATGCTACTTCCATATCTAGCATTTAATTTTATCCACTAAGAGTTCAGTGATACATTTCTTGAAAATGTGTTTGGTTTTTTGATTTCGTTTGGTTTTGGTTGTTTGGGGTTTTTTTACTACTGGACTCTTGAGCTCTGATTAACTGTTAATTTCCACTTTTTTGAACAGATCAAATGTCTAAAAGGCCAGAGAGACTTCTCAGACCAACCCACTTTTGATGGGATTCACATTGTCAACCATTTCACAGGAGACGATGAATCATTTCATTCTTCTGATGAAGATTTTATAACTAACTCCATACAGGAGAGTGGGGTGAACTTTCATCTACCCAGAAGGACTGGTCAGATGGCTTTGGATCACACACTTGTAGACAGCAGTGAAAGTGATACTGATGAAAGTGCCCTTCACACTGGGAATTCAGACAAGATGGTTTCTAAGCAGAGAAGAATGGAATCTTACTCTACTACTGTGTGATTATCACTGTGACGAGCACTGAAGATTTTCCTAGTTCTTTAAGGCTGAAAATGAAACCATCCAGCAGTTAGCTTTAGGCAACTATTGGATCTGGTCTGGCCTGTGATAAGAATATAGATGTACTGTTTGTCTGCCTTCTCTCTTTGCCAAATCTTGCTAATGACATACCATTGCCATAAAACAGGCTGGGAAGAAGCTGATGGATGACAGTTCTGACAGTATTACTGAATGTTCTTTGGTTTAGAAACTGCAAATATATTATTTCTTTAGTGCATAAGAACCATTTTTGCTGTTCACAAACACGGGAATTATTTTCCTCAAAAGAAATTGCTTTTGTGCAATATTTTATGCTCTGAACAAAAGTGTATGTTTTACATTGTTATCCTTTTGTGATCAAGATGGACCCTATTAAACCATCTGATCATGACACATATATATATAAAATTACCTTATACTTCTCAATTACTTTTGGTTTTTTACTAAAGTTATTGGATGCCCACAGAAGGCTTGAAAGAGAAGCCTTTATCTGTAGTACTTCATATATGCCAATAATGGTCACTAATGTCATAAAGGTGTTTTCACCATTTTCACTTAAATCTACGTGCATCTGCTTTTGATGTTGCTAAATAATAACTGGTCTGAAATATATTAATTACAATAATGTTTATTTTGTACATATTTATATATCTACACCAAGCTGAAAATGTACATTACACCATTTTATATGAGGAATGTAAATGTTGCAATATTACTGTCTCTGGTATTCTAACAGGAAAATGAATTCTGTATATACACACTAGAAGTGAATTACTAAATAAAGGCAAAACACTAACTTTACATTCAGTTTCAGCCTAGCTACACTAACAAGCTCATGTCAGAAATGCTTGTTCAAAACACTATTGACTGAAATCTTTTACCTTCATGTATATGTAATGAAAATAAATTTTTCATGATTTAACAAGGTTGCAGCATTTACTGTTTAGTCACTTCCAAGCTACAGTCCTTGGTTACCACGTAGTCACTTGTGGCCTCTAGATGGGTTCAAATAAGGTGAAAAATTATTCAGTTCTAATGAAGACATGGTCAGTGCAGTGTAAAATATGTAAGTTCAGTCTTCTTACAGTTTATATTGCAGACCTATGTAGGAAGTGAGCTATTGGTGCTGTCACCAAATAGCTGTGATTGAGCAAAGCAGTGAGAGCTGAGCTGAGCATTCTGCTTTCAGTCTCCTGAAAACTGAGATCCAGTAAAATGGCTTCACCTTCTTGAACAGAACAACATATTCTCCTGTTGTCATATGAACACTTACTTGCCCTCTCAGACACATTCTAGTCAAGAATATTCTTAATATTCCATTATTGCCATGTTATGTAATTAAGCAATCCTTAAGACTTCTTTTAGCAATATTTGCAACTGTTCTATTAAAAAAAAAGCCACACACAAGTCGGTACTGATAGGCAGCATGTATGTTAACTGTCTTGCTACTCACAAGCAGCAGTGTAGTTGTTTAAACTGCAGAAGTGTGGAAGCATACTGCTGAATGCATCTGCCAGGCCCATGAGGCATTTCCTTTCCCTTTATTTGGAATGTATTTTCAGAAAGAAACAGCACGAGTGAGGAGATTAACAAATTTTCAAAGAATGATAGAGAAGGCTGCATGGAAGTAGCCATTCTGGGCCTCTCAACTGTAGTATCTGCCCAGGTGCATCTAATTTACATCTAAAGCATGTAGGTGACAAATTCCAAATTACTGATGTCTGCAGCTCCTAACTTGCTTCAGTATTTCTGCAAAATTTCCCCACATCCTACCACTGATTATGTTGTTCCCAGTGTAGCCTGTGGGAATTGCCATCTCTCAGGTGGATTAGCTCACCGATTCTTATCCCTGATGAAAATTTTATGTATGCAAAACCAAATTAGGAGCACTTTTGTTCGCAAATGAGTAACAATTGTCTTTTTGCTTCCAACGAGCATCTGCTAACTTAAGTTTGCACCTGGATCACTGTTGCCCAAGAGGATAGGTGACAAATGTCTTGTTGCCTGTCATCAATACCAGCTGCAAGCCTCTCTTAAAGGTAATCTTCTGTAATAAGTGGCAGGCACAAAATTCAGTTGAAGAGCCATAAAAATCCTCTTTGTTTGAACAGTGAAGTGTTATGATTTTGCAATAACTGCCTTAATATTCAAGTGATAGCAAATGAGATTAGTTGGCAAGAGTTATTCCCTGAACTTTTGTGGTCTTAAGGTACAGAATAAATACTGATACTTAATAACAGCATAAATAAAAATATTAAGGGAAATACAGAAGTCGACCAGCTACACCTAGTGATAAAAATGAGTCGCTGGACATGCTGCAGTTTCAGAAGACTTGGCTATACACAGACTATCCTAGAAAGACAGCGCAAGACAGGCTGCTCAGCATCATCCTGCTTTTTCTGCAACTCTTCTGGCAAAAAAAGACACTAATCTCTTTGCTGTATGTATTATAATTTGAATATGCATGAGAATATTGTAAAGTTATTAACAGCATAACAATATATTTGTCAATAAATAAAACATTAATTATGCTACATACCATGACCTTCTAACAAACATTGCTAAATGCTTAGATTTGCTTTAAAATGCAGGCTGGAAAAGCTCAATGCTAACGCTAAAATCATAAGGTTAAAAAAAGCACGTAAACATGAAAACTCAAGATTCTTGAATATGTAAGTGCTGCAGCTGAGAAGAGAGGTGAAATAGGGAAGGGGGATGCGCTGCTATATATGGGGTTTATATGTAAACTACATTTTATGTAACTGTAAATTACAATTTTATGTAGTGAAAATGGTTCTGATTTCCCCAGTCTGATAATCAAATGCCTTCACTAATTAATTTGCATTTTCTTATGAGTATTTTAAGTACTAATAGCATTTATGGTTAGACCTCTTCTTACTGAAGTCATTTTGTATGTTAGAAGCTTTTTAGCATTTGTGAAAAATTTGGAACATGACTGTTTGGGAGAAAATACATCGGTGAAGATAAGAAGCATGTATTACATTCACAGCTCAACAACTCTTTATTCTCATTGGTCACTTTTTTTTTAAACAAAAAGCAGGCCTCATCTACATACACATCCACAAAGTACTATTGTCCACTAAATTCAATTTTCAACTGTATCTGCAATTTCCTGTATTAAATAAATTGCTATGAAAGTGATTAAAAGAAGCATTCACGTAGGAGTTTGCATAAATTTAACAAAACCACTTTGTAAATTCTGTACTATTGATCTTGATCAGTACTCAACCCTTTTTTAGAACTGCAACACAGAAGGTATTGCACGTTTGTCTGGAGTATTTAATATAATCACTGTTCTGTATCAGAGACTGTGTTAGTGATTTAGTGAAACTTGATGCTCACACATTTCTATTTTAAGCTAGAATGACCTAGAGATATGTTAGCATAAAAATACCCACATTTTATATGGGATGTACTGCTAATTCTCTTACCTGTCGAGGCTCCAAAAAATGTAACTCATTTCGGGAGAAGATAGAGGATGATGCAAATCCCCTAGGAGAGCCATTAGGCTAGTCCTGGAGACTAAAAAAAAAATCAACCTGTAAGACAGAGGTTTGTACAATCTATGTGGAAACTACGATGTTATGTTCAATCACGCACCAGCTACTAATTCTGTGTATTGAGAGAAGAGAAAAGCTATGTATAACAGATTTTTAGATTCACTTAAGTACATTTTTGTTCTGTGAAATACTTCTATCATTGTAATTACATCAGCATATTTTCTGTAATTCTCGGATGATTTTAGCTGGTGATGGAGTTTTTTGGTTTGGGGTTGGGTTTTTTTTGTTGTTTTGTTTTTAACATAAGAAAAATCGGTGAAATACATTTCTGCAGTAGGCTTTAGAACCCGAAATTCTGAATAATAGGAAGTACACAGTAAATTGACTTTCAACATAACCTCTGTATAGCATGGAGTTTCAGCTTCAGTGGAGAAAACGTTACATATGCATACCTACGCATGCCCGGGCACTGACTACTAAGATACAACCGCTAGATCTAAGATACAACAGCTTAACACTCTCCCTTTCCAGGAACTAATACCTTATTTCACAATTAGGAAAAACAAAAGCGGTGTAGCATACTCTTAGAATTGTAGACTACTACCCAAGTGACTGAAACTTCTACTGTCCCACTACGAGAACTAAAATTCCTATGAGACCATTTCACATAGTCTATGTTCATCCCAGTTTTCAACACCACAGCATACTGTCACTTTCCCTCCCCAGTTTGTGCTTACAGGGATCATTACTTTTCTAATCTGCTCTGAGACCAGCAGAAGTTACTTTGCACTTTTTTGATTGCTGGAAAAACCAATCAAAATCACTGATTAATTTCTCACATGTTTACATCACGTGTTTATGCCACAAGGCATAAAGGCAGCAGTGAACAAGATGGTGGAAGAAAAAATAAACAATAAGCATCATGTTAAAAGCAGGTTTTAAAATAAAAGTTATTAAAAAAAGACATACTTTCCAACAGAATGCACGCTACTACAAGTTCTAGCAGCTTCTCATAGTGAAACTGTTCTGCATAACTGTGCTCCCAAATTTTATCACTTCAAAGTACGCATGAATTCCCCCCCAGTATCACCCTCTTTGCTGCCTTCTCCCAATCCTGACTTCCACACACAACAAACTGCTTCTCCTCTCCTATGTACCAAGCAGCCAACCTGTCAAATCGTGGTCTTCAGATTCCTGTTGCAAAGTCTCTCATCATTTCTGATCGAAGATCTCACCTGCAGCCCGTCGCGTTTGGCGCCTTATCTGATGTTATCTTTAGCTCTAAGAGTGACACCAGGCAGCTGCTGTGAAGAGTGCAGGGAATTACAACACTTAATAGCTCTTCAGTTTTAAGCACGACTATAATAAAATCTCACCCTACTTTAAATCCCTCCTCTTATTTCTTCCCCTCTTTTGACACCAAGGGGTAGCAATCATACACTTATCATTGAATTCAACTGTATCTTACCAAATTTTTACGTTGAATTTGGAATGCCACACTCCCTTTGGGGGGAAGCATTGGAGCAGCTCCGTTAAAACCCAGCCCTACACTGCCCACGAATTACAGCCCTCCACCAACTCAGGGCCTGGGTTTTGGCTTTTTTCCACCCTGGGACACAGAACACTTGGCATTCATTGTCACAGAGCTCTTGCATATCACACGATGGCCACTGCACAGGCAAGACCACCTCAAAGGTTACTGAGTTGCGGCACACATGTCACACAGTAAACCAAGAATAAGAGCCGAGCCCCTTCACCTCTGTTCATCGTGCTGTTACTACAGATGTTACTGTTACGCTCCTCTCGGCGTGGGGAGGACCCTGGGGCGATGGCTGTGGGCGGCTCCCCGCGCGGCAGAGGCAGCGCTGAGGGCTCCCCTCAGGGCTCCCCTCAGGGCTGAGCGCGCGGGGCCGTCTCGCGCCACCGCCCGCGGGCACGTGGCACAGCGGCCCGCGCGCACGAGGCGGCCCCGCGCCCGGCCCCGGTAACACCGGTACCCGCGGGGTGTGCGGGGTGTGCGGAGGTGTGCGGAGGTGTGCCCGCACACCTTCCGGCGACAGACCTGAACCTGCCTGAGGCCCCGCTGGCAGCCCCGGGTCATCCCCGGCAGCACTCGGTGCGCAGCGCCCGCGTTCCGCTTCCCCCTCCCCACCGGCGGCGTGAAACAAATGGCCCGTCCAGCCGGGATTCCGGGAAGGCAGAGTCCATTCCAGGCTCGAACTGGTTTTGCAAATCACGAAACACAGCCGGTTTCGTACCATTTCCCCACTAATCGTTTGAGAAAACTGACGCCCCAGAGCCAGATGTCTGTTCCCGGTGCCCATGAAGCGCCCACCCTCACACGAGAGATGATATGGCTGTATGTGAAACATTCGCTTGGTTCACTCGTTGATTTCTTTATTTCTGCTGAAGGGTTTAACCCGATTAGGGAGCAGAAGGTGAGGAAGGGCCGTCCGCAGGTGGGCTGAGCAGAAGGGGCTGGGCGCAGTGCCTCCCGCAGGACAGCCCCGAGCGGAGCCGCTCGGCGCCCGGCAGCGCATCCCGCACCCCGCACATCTCGGATGGCTGCGAGCGCCCTGCGCACGGAGATCACCGCGCCTTACAGCGTGCTGCAGCACCTGTATAAATTTTGAATTTACATATATAAAGACGAATATGTATTTTCTTGTAACCAGGTCACAATTATTTATGAGCGCTAATTTTTTCTCTTGCCTTCATTACATCCAATCAAAGCGCCGTGTAGCAAGGTACTCAAAAGGGTATGAGTTTATCATCCCATTTCAGAGGCAAACGAGAAAGACTGTTTCTCGAAAAGTCACAGTGAGTCAACGAAGACGCATACACGAAATTAGACCGAGTTTTCTAATCTGGTTATTTCTACTGATTCGACATTGATTTTTGAAGCCGAAGGCGTGAATGATTTTCAGAGTAATCAACCAAAGGCGCAGCAAGGAGACCGCGGTACACAGCTGCCGTAAGTAAAACTGCTGTGCCCAGCACCAGGAACTTTCCGGCAATAATGAAGGTGTTAAGGACGATGTGTCAGTCGTGTTCTTCAGCTTCCTTTTGTGTCACACAACCATCAGCAAAAGGTTGGACAGTTTTTCCCGTAGTGGTGTTTAGTTAGACTTTGGGAAGTCAGGTTAATCCTATGTTCCACAGGGGCTCAGTGACATCAAATGACTAATGTTTCTGTGAATGCTTCGGGGGTGGTGGCGAAAAAAACATCTGCTCGTAAAGCCAGCATGCTCCAGGGCGTGAGGGAGGCTGAAGCTTCTGTCATGTCCGACTTCAGTCTCAGTCGTTTCTGAACGGAAAATAGTGTTAAACCTCGACTGGCTCACTGCAGAGCCGCATTTTGAGGGGCCCTACAGCCATCGAAACGATGCTGGTGACCCGAGATGTCTAATCGCGAAGCCTAGAACCACCTCAGAAAGATACCAGAGACCCGAGCTGGATTTCCTGGCTGCGTTAGGAATCCGAGGCTAGACCTGGAAAACTATGTTTTGAGGTCGTGTGTGAGTGTGTAAAGCAAGGCGAGCCTTTTTCTCTTTGCCGCCGGTGCCTGCCCCACGGATCCTCCCCGAGTCACTGCACCTAACCACGGGCACGCAGGGGAGGACGGCAATCGCTTCCCTCCTGCGTGTTTGAATCGCTGTCAAGCAAACAGTAGCGGGGGGGGGGGGGATTTCGCCTACCCCTTCCATATTTAACCATTACCTAAATCCGAAGGGAAATGAGCAAACCTCTAGGCTTGGGTCTTAAGGTATTTTCAGCGCCGTTGGGCGTATTTATCCCAAAAGAGTTTTCCACAACAAGCTATTTCTAGTGTAGGAGAGGTCTCCGTCGCCCAAGGCCCGGCCTTAGCCCCGATTACAGCGCCACGCACGTCCCGATGGCGGCGGGAGGTGCGGCCCCCGCTGCCGGGCCGGGGGCAGGGATGTGGCGCGGAGCGGGCTCGGCAGGGCGGGCACCGGCTGCCCCGTCTCCTGCCCTCTGCCTCTGCCCGCCAGAGTCAATCTGTGTTTTGAATCTGTGACTTGTTCTCGTTGCGGAAGTCGAAGGGGGATCCAAGAATAGTTCAGATAGATTTGTGTAATTTCTGGAGCAGAACCCCGAGAGAAATGAAAGGCCCGATTCCAGAATGACACTTCGATGTCACTTTAGCGAGCCCTATGTGAGGTGGAATACGGTAAGACATTTTCATTTAAGGAAAACTGAGAGAGAAAGAGAGGACGGGAACAGTACTGATTTGTGAAGTTCTGGCTTTTTAAAAAAAAACTTTTTTTTTTTTTTTGCAGAAGCTCCTAACTAACGCTCAGGAAGTGGAATTTGTGGTTTAGGGGGCCGAGCTCTGAAGGAGGAGAGAGAGAGAGAAGAGAAAAAAAAAAGCCAACTCAAGCAGCATTGCTCTTTGAAGGGAGGCTAAGTTTAAAGTCACCCAAACTATTAGGCTGCCGTGCGTACCCCGTTGACAGCCCAGGTTCCTTCGCCCCTCCTAATGGGTAAGCGCTCTCGCTTCTCTCCCCTCGCATGGGCAGCCGCCGGCGGGCGAGCCAGGGCAGCAGAGCCCCCTCTCCTCTCGCCCCCGGAGTGGCGGCCACCGAACGGGCACGGCCGTCGGGCCAGCGGGAGCGGGGAAAGCGGGGGCGGGTGCCCGCAGCGGACAGGTGGGCTGCGGAACTCGCCTTCCCACGGGCCCGGTCCTTGCCTGGCCGGCTCCGGCCTTGGGAGGCCGGCGGCGCCTCCGCGGCGTGGCTTTTGGAGGGAAAAGCGCCGCGCCGGGGACGAAAACACGCGGCAGAAGCGGCGCCGGCGCCCGGAGCCCCCAACGGCTGCGGCGGGCGCTGCTGTCGGGGGAGCGGCGCGTTATCGAGAGCGCTTTGATTTCTCGCCCTGCTCCGCGCGGGCCCCCTCGCTGCCAGCCCCCACTCAAGGATGAACCCAGGCGCAGGTGGATCTGGGCAGCAACGCTCCCACCCGGCCACCCGGCCCCGTGCCCGTGGGCGGCGCCTCCCCGGCGGCGAGGAGCGACCCGGCCCCCGCCGGGCGCGGACGGGCCGGTGCTTCGCGGCACAGCCGGGGAGGGCACCTGCGGGGCAGCTCTTGCGCCCCGCCAACGGGTTGGGCCCCTTCCCTCTTTTCCCCGTTCGCAAACCTGAGACCGCTAACGGGAGAGGGGGGAAAAAGGTGAAGCCACCCCCTTAAAGAACCCAACGAACGTGGATTAAATTCGTTATTTGCAAAGTGTCAAGTGTAATGGCAGAGGCGGCCCGGTACTGGACGAGTTCCAGTGAACCTCTCTCCTGTCTTACTCCGAGGAGCCGGCTCAGGGCAGCTCTCGTTAACCTGGTCCCTGGCCCCCCTTGACTCCACGACTCCCCCGCAGGGTCCCCAGGAGGTTTCCCACCTCGCCTCCTCTCCCCGCCCCGGCTTTCAGTGCCCGCAGCTGCAAGGTGTCGCGGCGCCGACAGCTGCGAGCTTCAGGAAAGATTCCGTTTTGTTCGTTTTCGCGTTGTCGTGGTTCGCGCGGGATGAGTGAATCAGTCCCTCCGACAGGAACAGCCCCTCAAGCGCCAGGTTTACGCTGCCGAGTTTGTAACGACTCTGCCGCCCGCCCCGATAGCAACCGCGCGCTGACCAGCCCGTTCAGGGTGGCGGGGACTGATAAGCAGTTTCTGGGGAAGAGAGATTTGTTGGCGCCGCTTCTGCTGCGGCGCCGGCTTGGGGACCAGCACGGAGGCGCGGTGCGCCCGGTGGGCCGACCGCGGACGCGCTCCCGCGGAGGGACGGGGCTGCACCCGACCGCGACCCCCAGCTCCCTCAGCCCCCCTCGTCCAACGAACGGTGCCCGGCTACTGCTGTTGCCTGTTCCCCGCGATCTGGCTGCGACCGACGGGCTGCCGGGGCGGCCCCAAGGCCCTGGTGGGGAGGGTGGAAAGGCGTTGGCCGGGGGCGGTGGGAGGCTGAGTTAGTTGCGCTCAGGGAAGGGGGGGCGAGTCGAGCGGGGCCGGGGGCGGCGGCCGGAGCCACCTGCGCGCCGCCACCTGGCGCACCGCCCCCGACGAGCGGCCCCTCCCGGCCGGCGCCCCCGGCCCTCACCGGCGGGATCGCCGCCTCCCCGCAGGTCGCCTCCTCGCCGCCGCCCCGCAGGAGACTCGGGGGTGACACTCGCCGCCGCGCCCGGCGCCTGGAGAGGGAGTGCGGCCGTGCCGGCCGTGGCAGCACCCCACCATGCCGAGGTCCTTCCTAGTGAAGAGCAAGAAAGCGCACAGCTACCACCAACCCCGCTCCGCCGACGAGGACTACAGCCTGCAGCTGGAGACGGTGCTAGCCCAGATCTGTGCAGGTAGGAGTCTGCCCGCCTGCCCCGCATCACCCCGCTGCTCACGGCACCGGCCGGTCCTGTGCAGCCCCCGCGGGACGCCGGAGGGGCTGATGCGGGGTTTTAGAGCGTCCGACATCAAACCTTGGTGGGAGCGAGACCGCCGCGGGAGGTGGCTGGCTCCCACCATGGACCCGCACTGATGAGCCCCCTCGCCCCTTTTGCCCTGCAGACAGCAAGATCCCCGAGGACACGGAGCTGTGCCGCACTGCCCCGCCCGATCCGGAGACTTCCCAAGGACGCTTCTCCCCGGAATCCCACCTTACCGAGGCTGCCGATGGCACCTCCGAGTCAGTGCCCAGCTGCGAGGGCAGCGTCTGTGACAGGGTGTCCGAGTTCGAGGATTTCTGGAGACCTCCCTCGCCCTCCGTCTCTCCAGGTAGGACCGGGGCGAGCATCG